TGTCCTCTACCATCTTCTGGAGTCCATTTAAGCTCACGCCTACTGCTTCAGTGACTCCATCCAGCCACCTCATTCTCTGTCGTCCCCTTCTTCTCTTGCCCTCCATCTTTCCCAGCATTAGGCTCTTCTCCAGTGAGTCCTTCCTTCTCATTAGGTGGCCAAAGTACTTGAGTTTCAACTTCAGGATCTGGCCTTCTAAGGAGCAGTCAGGGTTGATCTCCTCTAGGACTGACCGTTTTGATCGCCTTGCAGTCCAGGGGACTCACAGGCGTCTTCTCCAGCACCATAGTTCAAAGGCCTCCATTCTTTGGCGCTCAGCCTTTCTTATGGTCCAACTTTCACAGCCATACATTGCAACTGGGAAAACCATGGCCTTGACTATATGCATTTTTGTGGGCAGAGTGATGTCTCTGCTTTTTAATATGCTGTCTAGATTTGCCATAGCTTTCCTCCCCAGGAGCAAGCGTCTTTTAATTTCTTGGCTGTAGTCCCCATCTGCGGTGATCTTGGAGCCCAGGAAAATAAAATCTGTCACTACCTCCATTTCTTCCCCGTCTATTTGCTAGGAATTGAGAGAGCTGGATGCCATGATCTTGGTTTTCTTAATGTTGAGTTTCAAGCCAACTTTTGCACTCTTTAAGCCAACCTTTGCACTCACACTCCATACCAAACCATAAACCATAAAACAAAGTTTATGAAATACTGATACAGGGAGTCTTTGACTCACGCCCACAATTGAACCCAAAATTTATGTTGCTAAGTGAGACATTTGTTAAGTGAAGAGGAGGACGAGGAGGGGGAGGTATCCTAACTACATGGAAGCTAAGTTGCTAAGCTTTCTTGTTGCCTTGATGTCTTGTGTATTAGTATTGCATTCTGTGCATGGATTTGATTTCAGTAAAGATTTAACTATTAAATTAATTTCTTTCTCAAAACTGGGCGCATTGTTGTTGGGGCTGTTATTCCTGCACTCTGCCTGCTCTCCATCTCTGTTTGCACAGAATATCAGGGCAATCTTGGTAAACAAGGAAGACAGAGAAGAGGGAAAGAAGAGAAGAGAAGAGAAGGGAAGGGAAGGGAAGGGAAGGGAAGGGAAGAGAAAAGAAGAGAAGAGAAGAGAAGAGAAGAGAAGAGAAGAGAAGAGAAGAGAAGAGAAGAGAAGAGAAGAGAAAACTCCCCGCTATTCTCCCCTTGAGGACTAGCTGCAAAAGTAAGGAGAAAATGCTTTGATCCCTATCTCTATCCCTGCATGGCTTTTGAAGCCCAAGTGAATTGCTCCTTCAGACTGAGTAGATATTGACAGTCTCTTGAGAAGCCAAGATATTGGCAAGCAAGTGACAGTGTGTTCCCACCACTTCCTATGAAGCTAAGAAGCCAGGCCAGTGCACACGCAGATCCTTGCCGTGCAGATCATCTCCTGCACGTGCTTCAAAACAAGGAACTGAAAAAGTGCGCCTCACCATCATTGAAAGCTGAACTAGCGAAAGATGCAATTTTATAGCACAACAGCTGGGAATCAGGTTCAGAACTGGAGGTTATAGGCGTGGATTCAAGAGGACTCGAGATTTTCTCAGGAAACAAGGGGGAAAAAAAGAAAGATGCAGAAAGTGTTTGAGGTTAGACAAAAGTTTGAAAACTACTGCTTAAATAATGAAACTGTTTATGACATTATCAATCAATCATTGTGGCAAGGAAAGTTCACACAACTCGTCTCGGCCAACACGACGTGGCCAACTGGCCATGGGGCAAGTGGCCACGTGTCAACTGGCCACATGTCAACTTGCCACGTGTCAACTGGCCACGGGACAACTGGCCACGTGTCAACTGGCCACGGGATAACTGACCACGTGTCAACTGGCCACGTGTCACGGCCCAGCTCGCCAGAGCCCAACTTGCCACGGCCAATTAGCCATGGGACAAGAGTTACACTAATATCGAAAAAGTAATGGGAATAGAATCATTGAAGAAAGGATGCCAAAAAAGGGACAAAATGAAAGGTGAATGACAAAAAAATTAAAATATTTTTAAGATGATTTTAAATAATGAAATTAAATTGTTGAATTGTCCGATGACGAGTTGCCCTATCCTGCTCCAGTCTGACACCTCTTGCTCTTTGAAGTCTAGAAAGCTACTTGGCTCTTTCCAAGGGCTCCAGAAAAAGTTGTGGCAACAAAGAAATATCTTTGGGAAATCAGAACCCCACAGAAAAGATGCCCATGTTAACAGCACGGTTGTCACATCAGCAGAATGCTTGCAGGATTCTGCAACATCCTAGTGGCCTAATTCGGATGAGACAAGAGAAGGATGCCAATGAACTTAGAAGCAACTTAGTTTACTTTTAGGTGAAGCTCCTGATCCAGCATCAGTGCTGGAGCTCCTCGTGAAATATTACATCCAAAATGATTATCAGAAGCTAAAATGATTGTATTATTTGCTGCTGGATTGTGACGAAGAGAACAGGGTAGAGCCTGTAGCATTTTCAGCTGTATCTTTTTAAAAAAAATATTTAAAAAGTTTTAGAATTTTAAGGTTATGAAGGCATAGACATCACATCGTTCTTAGAAATGTACAACAATCTTCCAAGCCTAAATCAGCTCTTTGAAAGCTAAAAATTTAAACTCTTCATTGTCCTCAAATTTTACCCTGAGTTTTGGATGAAGTTGCCACATTTCTTTCTGCGTTATTCTGAATGTAGTGATTGGTTGCTTAGAACATAGAATAACGTGGTTGGAAGGGACCTTGAAGGTCTTCTAGTCCAACCCCCTGTTCAAGCAGAGAAACTGTATACCATTCCAGTCAAAACATTGTAAAAGCCTCCATTGATGGATCAGCCATAACTTCTGGAGGCAAATTGTTCCACTGATTAATTGTTCTAACTGTGAGGAAGTTTCTCCTTAGTTCTAGGTTGTTTCTCTCCTTGATTAGTTTTCATCCATTGTTTCTTGTCCTGCCTTTGGGTGCTTTGGAGAATAAGTTGACCCCCTCTTCTTTGTGGCAGCCCCTCAAATACTGGAAGACTGCAATCAGGTGGCCCCAGTGCTACTTTTCATTAAACAAGATATAATTCCTAATTCTGCCCTCCCTGTTTACAAATGGTCGGTCAAAGGAACATGTGAATATCTCACTTATTTCTTTACTTTTCATCCACCACCACCACCCCCTCCACACACACAAAAAGAATTCCATTTGGAGAATGAAACAGCCAGAAAAATCAGCAGATGTACTGTAGGTCCTATCCCTAACATCACAGAAGCTAGCTGAGTAGCAGATATGAGGAGAAACAGCCAAGGCTGCTGGTGACACTACTTATTTACACTGTAAGTAAAAGTTGAGAAGAAAGTGAGGGAAAGATGCAAAAATGCAGGCGTTAGAGGTGTCTCTTACCTTTTTTACTGTGTCCTCAATGAGGTTATTTCCAACTGGGATTAAAATTCCTCCGAGGATGGCTAACGCTGCTCCAATGATTGTTCCCGTCAGCAAGCCACAGTTTCGATTGCACCCCATTGTGCTTCCTGACACAACTGCAGATCCCTGCAGCGGCTCCTTCTCTTTCTTTGACCTCTTACAGCTTTTCCCATCAAAATATGTATCGCGGAGCTGTAAGGCACCTTTGCAAAAGAGGTTAAAGTACAAAGTTCGGCATAAACTGCTCAGTGGAAGTTCACTGAGAAACACGCCATGGGGGAAGGGGAACAATTAAAACTTAGAATATCAAACATGAAGAGTCAACGTAATTGAAGCCTGGCTAAATTGAGATTGACAAAACACTTTCAGTTTAATAGCAGAGTGAAATTTCCTTTGTCTTTTTAGTAGATGGAGAAGAAACGATCAGTAAGTAATCATTTCGGACTCAATTGTCCCCCTCTTTCTAAAATCAGTCCACATTTTGATCCAGAAGCTGTGAAAATCACGTGAGAAGCAGTCCTAAGTCATTTTTTTATATTTCAGTGCTATCATAACTTTGAATGATCATTAAATAAATGCTTGTAAGCTAGTAGCAGTAACAGAAGCAGACTTGGAAGGGACCTTGGAGATTATGTAGTCCAACCTGCAGCTCTTGCAAGTGACCTATACTATTTCAGACAAATGGTTGTCCAATCTCTTCTTCAAAACTTCCAGTGTTGGAGCACCCACAACTTCTGGAGGCAAGTTGTTCCACTGATTAATTGTTCTCACTGTCAGAAAATTTCTCCTTAGTTCTAGGTTGCTTCTCTCCTTGATTAGTTTCCATCTGTTGCTTCTTGTCCTGCCTTCAGGTGCTTTGGAGAATAGCTTGACTCCCTCTTCTTTGGGACAGCACCTGAGATACTGGAAGACTACTATCATGTCACCCCTCGTCCTTCTCCATTAAACTAGACATACCCAATTCCAGCAGCCGTTCTTCTTCATATAATTTGAGTTCACCAAAGTAAACTCTTTCTTTCTTTCTTTCTTTCTTTCTTTCTTTCTTTCTTTCTTTCTTTCTTTCTTTCTTTCTTTCTTTCTTTCTTTCTTTCTTTCTTTCCTTAGATTAAGATTAAGTAGATTAAGTAAGGCCACACTTGGAATCCTGCATCCAGTTTTGGTCACCACGATGTAAAAAAGATGTTGAGACTCTAGAAAGAGTACGGAGAAGAGCAACAAAATGATTAGTGGATTGGAGGCTAAAACATATAAGGAATGGTTGCTGGAATTGGGTATGTCTAGTTTAATGAAGAGAAGGACGAGGGGGAACATGATAGCAGAGTTCCAGTATCTCAGGGGCTGCACCAAAGAAGAGGGAGTCAAGCTATTCTCCAAAGCACCTGAAGGCAGGACAAGAAGCAATGGGTGGAAACTAATCAAGGAGAGAAGCAACCTAGAACTAAGGAGAAACTTCCTGACAGTTAGAACAATTAACCAGTGGAACAACCTGCCTTCAGAAGCTGTGAATGCTCCAACACTGGAAGTTTTTAAGAAGAGACTGGACAGCCATTTGTCCGAAATGGTGTAGGGTTTTCTGCCTGAGCAGGGGGTTGGACTAGATGACCTGCAAGATCCCTTCCAACTTTATTATTATTATAAGAAGTAAAAAAATCTGTAATAATTTCAGATTGGATGGTCTCTCTCTTCCTAAAAGACTGACAATGTTCTCTTTGCACTGTTTCAAATGTACATTTACAAATGCTTTTTCATTCGCTATTACTCCGTTCTTCCTCCAAAGAAGCCAGTTTTCCAAAGCGCCTGAAGGCAGGACAAGAAGCAACGGGTGGAAACTAACCAAAGAGAGAAGCAACCTAGAACTAAGGAGAAACTTCCTGACAGTTAGAACAATTAACCAGTGGAACAACCTGCCTCCAGAAGCGGGGAATGCTCCAACACTGGAAGTTTTTAAGAAAAAACTGGACAGCCATTTGTCTGAAATGGTATAGGGTTTCCTGCCTGAGTAGGGGGTTCGACTAGATGACCTCCAAGGCCCCTTCCAACTTTATCATCATCATCATCATCATCATCATCATCATCATCATCATTATTATTATTAAGCCGATGCTTGTATTATTTGAGTACGATTACACTAGAATGCTTGCATCTCGCAAATAGCAGAAACAGAGAGATTTCAAGAGGTACATTTTTGGGAATTTGCTGCCTAGGAAACTTCAAGGAGTGGTCCATGGTGCTACTAAGACTCAGCTGGGGTTCAGAACACAGAACCTGTAATAATAGGATTGGAAGGGACCTTGGAGGTCTTCTACAGATCTCCAAGAGCCCTGGTGGTGCAGTGGCTAGAATGCAGCACTGCAGGCTACTTCTGCTGACTCCTTGCTGCCAGTGGTTCGGCAGTTCGATCCTGACCAGCTCAAGGTTGACTCAGCCTTCCATCCTTCCGAGGTCAGTAAAATGAGGATCCAGATTGTTGGTGGACAAGATGCTGACTCCGTAAACTGCTTAGAGAGGGCTGTAAAGCACTGTGAAGCGGTATATAAGTCTAAGTGCTATTGCTATCTAATCCCTGGTGGCGCAGTGGTTAGAGTGTAGTATTGCAGGCTAACTCTGCCCACTGCCAGCAGTTCAATCCCGATAGGGCTCAAGGTTGACTCAGCCTTCCATCCTTCCGAGGTCGATAAAATAAGGACCCAGATTGTTGGGGGCAAGACCCCGACTCTGTAAACTGCTTAGAGAGGGCTGTAAAGCATTGTGAAGTGGTACATAAGTCTAATAGCTATGGCTATTCTACTCCAACCCGCTGTCCATGGTAGAAGATTCTATACCATTTCGGACAAATGGGTGACCATTCTCTTCTTGAAAACCTCCATTTTAAAGTCCTTCCTGCCCTACTTCCTCATCTGGGCTTTCAGTGGCTGCCACAGGTGCATATTTCAAATTCATATATATATATTTGCAATAGTCTCCTGAAAAGTTTGCTTCCAAAGATAGCAGTTTGAAGGTTGCATCCCCATTGCCAGTTTTAAGATTTGCACCCAAATATTAATTCTTAGATTCTAACGACAGAAGCCAAGGAAACATTTTTTTTGTGCATTTTCTTCAATGCTGCATCATTGTCTTCAAATCAATGGACCCGTAGCTGGAATCTTAGAAGATGTTTTATATAGTATATACATAAATAGAAGAAGTAGCTATTGAGTTACTCCACTGTGAGATATCATTAGAGTTGGGCCTAGCACTGATGATGTTACCTAGTTGGGTCATGAAACATCTGCAAGAAAACCTCCATAGCCCTCGTCCTCCTCTCCAGAAGCCCCACTCCCTTCTAGCACTGATGATGTTGCCTAGTTGGGTCATGAAACTGCTATGCAGGTGCTGAGGTTTTGCTTGATAAAAAATACAGGGAACCAGAAGTTGCCTTCAAGCTTTACGTTTTTACTCAGCTAAACAAAGAACGGGCTTCTGTAAAAGAGAGAAAAAGCCCCAAATATCAGAAAAGCCTTATTTTTTATACCTTCTTTGATTACATAAACCAGACATGTCAAACACAAGGCCCGGGGGCCGGATGCGGCCCGCGAAGTGGTTTCATGTGGCCCTCGAAGCCATCCTGGAAACAGTGAGGGAACGGCCCCCGCTGCCTTGGTCCTGGCCCAGGCCGGCCGGGAGCCAATGTACAATTTTGTGGTGGCCATCTATGCTGAAACGCACTCAGTCTTAGCTCCACAAGGCCGTCCGGAAACAGCGAGGAACCAGCCCCTGCCGCGTCGGCCCCGCCCCCTGGGTGCATGCTGGGGAGGTGTCACCCTTTGTGAGGAATGGAGAAATGGACCATGCCTTGGCGCTTGCCCCAGTCCCACCCCCTTCTGCCAGAGACCCTCAAATCTGGCCCACTCCTGCCCAGGCCCCCACAGGCCCCCTTGACGCGAACGACGTCGAGCTGGCCATGCCCACCCAGTAGGCCACACCCACTCCATCCACGCCCACCCAGTAGGCTGCACCCACCCTGGCCACACCCGCCTGGCCCCCCAAGGGCAACCGCAATGCTAATGCGGCCCTCAGTGAAATTGAGTTTGACACCCCTGACATAAGCAATTCACCCAGCAAAACTGACACACATAAGATAAAGACTTCACCCTTTAAGGCTGGCACACTGTAGATAAGAAGGAAGTAGCTAAAAATGTTCCCTTTGGGGTGTTTTCCCAAGACGACATATGTTCCCGGATGGGTTACGATATTGGGCGTTTCCTTTGCTGTCCTTTTAGGACTTTGCATTCATGGTTCTGCAAGTGGCCAGAGATAGCGGGGCCATCTGCACCTATTCACAATTGATACTGTCCCCTAAGTCCGGGTCAACAAAATGTCAGCATGAAAACCACCAAGTTCAGAGACCACCAAGGACCCCAAAGTTCAGCTTTGGGCTACACATATTCTCTTCTGTCAGAATTGGGCCTATTCTCCATGCTATTCCACACTGACATTGCCTTGGTGGCTTGCAAAAAAATGGCAATTTGTGTGTGGGGGGGGCTGTTAAACTATCCAGATTATTTCCAGAATTCCTTTCCTTTTTTTTTCATAGGAGCCCTGGTGGTTCAGTGGTTAGAATGCAGCATTGAAGGCTGACTCTGCCCACTGCCAGTAGTTCGATCCTGCCTGGCTCAAGGTGGACTCAGCCTTCCATCCTTCCAAGATCAGTAAAATGAGGACCCAGATTTTGGGGGGAAATAGGCTGACTCTGTAAACTGCTTAGAGAGGGCCGCAAAGCACTATGGAGTGGTATATAAGTCTAAGTGCTATTGCTATTCCTTCCTCCCTCCCTCCCTCCCTTCCTTTCCTCTCTTATTCCCTTTCTCACTTTCCTTCTGGAGGCACAGTGGTTAGAATGCAGTATTGCAGGCTAACTCTGCATTCCACTACCAGCAGTTCGATCCTGACCAGCTCAAGGTTGACTCAGCCTTCCATCCTTCCCTGGTCAGTAAAATGAGGACCCAGATTGTTGGGGGGCAATGCGCTGACTCTGTAAACTGCTTAGAGAGGGCTGTAAAGCAGTGTGAAGTCTAAGTGCTATTCTTGTTTCTCTAGTACCACTTTTACATTTATTATCT